CGCGCTCCGCCGTCTCGTTCGATTCGATTCGCCGTTAAGGCATCATCGCATTACGGTGGTAGCTTCTCCGATGACGATGCTTTCAGCTTCTTCCCTTGGTCCGATGGAAATAACGGTAATCGTCTCAGATTCTTACTCTCGATGTCGTTTCTAACAACGGATCCTAGTCTGATCCATTGGTCGGAAATGTGATTCGAAAATTCGATCAAATTAGGGTTATGAATTCGAGATTGTTGATGTCGAATTACGTTGACCTTGTGATCTGATATCAATCCCTGCGTAATTTGATCAGATTAGGGACGCTTGTTGATCATTTTTGGACTGGTGTAATTAAGCTTGAAATGGGTTTTTGAGACTCAAATTTGGATTATTGGTCACAATGGAACTGCTGATTGAAACGATTGTATCTGTTTTACAGCCATTGAATGGGTTCCTGAAGAGAGGATTACACTTTTCACCTCTGATGGGCTAATTCAGATTGGTGGCAATATGGTTCCTCGCCGCATCAAATCATCGGATGTACGCCATTTCATTTCCTTCGTGTCTGTATTATTGCATGGAATTTCTTACTAGCTAGAAATGTAGAACGGGTTTCGTTTTCTCTTTATGTAATCATCTCCGGCGAGAATGAATCATATAATTTGTGACAGAAGAAACATGGGAGATCCAAATCACCTGAAAAACTTCAAAAGTTTCAAGAAAGTGCCTACATGGATCCTGACCAAGGACTATGCCTTGGAGCTCTTTTCGACATTGCAGCTACAAACGTATGCAACTCTTCCTTTTTTGTTAACCCGTTTGATAAAGTAGACACACAGAAATGGTAGTCCACTCCACTGTTTAAAATGTCAGGGACTGGATATGGGAAGAAGACTTTGTATCTTTGGATTCTGCCGTTCCGTTGAAATGCTTAGTGATGTTGTTGAAGACACCGTCTTAGAACATGGTGGAGAGGTGCGTGTTGAAATTTCACTCTCTCTCTCTCCCGGTTAACCACACTCAAACAAGTCTAGTTAACTGGTTGTTTGTTTGTGTTAAAAAGGTTGTTGCAACAGAGACAGAGAGCAAAGGCGGTTTACAAGAGAAGCTAACGATGACAGTGGCGGTTCCATATCTTTGGGGCGTACCTCCGGCTGCGGAAAGGCTTCACCTTGCGGTTCGTACGGGTGGAGGCATCGTAGACAAAGTCTATTGGCAATGGCATTTCTTGTGAATCAGAAATTTCTGCAATAAAAAAAAAAAAAGGCTCTAACTCACAACTGTTTATATTTTCATCATTCATTGTACAGAACCATTACATTTGGTATAAATCCCCTAATTATATTCATCTAAAACAAATGAAATCTTCTTACATACTACAACAACCCAATCAAAGTGGTAAGATTCAACAAATAAACACTTCCTAACAAAAATGAATGTTTAGCCAAACAAGATGCTAACCAGAAATTGAATCATCATGATATATCATAAACATACTCTAACTTGATTTAGTTTGTTTTTCTTCTTCTTCCCTTAGAAAATTTTACTTACGGTAAATGAAAAGTGAGAAAAAACCGAATTTCAAAATCTGAGATGTTATTTTAATATTTAGGGTATAAATATAGTTGGGAATTTACAAAGTGTTGTGTTCGTAGAAAGGAGAGATGGTTGTCATCTCCTCTGACAGAGACGGGATTGACCTTCGGGTCTTTGAACACACATCAGTTAAAGGCTTTCCACCTTCGGGTGGGTCTAATCCCAATTTTTTCTTTCTTTCTAAATTGGGTCTCGATAACGAATTCTAAACTACAATTTCCAATTTTTGTAATCATTTCTTAAAAAAAATATATTTTACGGGTTTGGTGGACCGTAATGACTCAAAAACCATTGTCATTTCTGACTAGAAATTTTGCTTGTTTTGCAGATACATATTATATACTACGGTTTTGAGGATCGGGATTAAATATTCTTAAAAACTTTTCTTTTTTCTCTAATCTATAAAATTGAAAATTATTTGTACTCTTTTGAACACATCCGATATTCCTGTTAAGGCTCTCCACCTTTGAGTAATTGGAGCTAGTTAGAGCAGCAACAAAATCAAAAGTTTGGCCCTCCTTCAGTTTCCAATTAATAGAAATCTTTAATTGGAAACTCCTAGGAGAAGGTTAGCTGTTGAATGAATTCTACCCTCTTTGGTTAGTTTTGATCAATACTAAAGTTGTCAATACAAGTATGTTTGATTATGGCTTCTTTAGTATTTTTGGGTGTATATAGGTAGGTGTTCAATGGTTGGTCTTTATGACCATGTTGTTCCCTAGCGGTGTTTACCCTTGGTTTTTTTGTATAAGTGGGTAAAAATGTTGTAATTTCAAATTTATTTTAACCTTTATTTCTATAATAATATAAATTCAGATGACATAAAGAAATAATTTTCAAAGGTAAAAGATAATTAATAAAACTTTTTCATTTTATTCCCGCGAATATCGCAAGCTAATCACCTGGTATATATAAAATAACAAACCTATATTTCTTGGATTCACTAGGATTAACTTATATTCCTATTCTCTTAAAGAATGTGGAGGAGAATTATCTTATTATTTTTTAAAAAATTATAAACGGCCATATGCAG